GAACCATCGACCATGAAATATATGTAATAACACTATGCACTTTTTTGAGCCACATTATTGGAATGAAAATGCATTTTTGAATAGAATATTGATGGAAAATGTGTGGTTAAAAAATAAGGAAATGTTTTGGATTTGCGTATAATATTATTTTATTAAAAAATGTGTGATTGAAATGATGTCAAATAACTGTTGAAGAATGTATTTTTTTCAAATAATGTGGCTCAAACAAGGTATATATTTATAATCAAAGTAAGAAAGCATAATTTCCAAGACTATATTTGTATAAAAAAATGTTCTCAACCGCTTTTCTAGGGGTGGAATGAACCTTTACTGCACTGCTAGCATTTTAGAGCTTGAAATAACTAGCACTCATAATATGAGAATACGTTGCAAGCTTGAAAAATTACCTGAAATCATGGCCCCATGATGAGATGCAATGTGCCTAACAGTTTCGAAAGTGAAGGTAAAATTAAGCTCCTTGACAAATAAAAAACCATGCATCTGTGTATGTCAACTTCAAATGCTTCTTGCAGTGACCAATTATGTATGTGACTAAGGCCATGAACTACAAACCTCATCTATCGCAATAAGATTTAGCAACCCTCTGGAATGAATCTTCGTCAGCCTTGCCATAAACCCTGATGTTGCAATCAGTTCAGGTGTAACGTACAGTAACCTCAAAGACGGCTTTCCCGATCCAAGATCCTCATATATCTAAACATTCAGAAAAGTTTTGACATGGACAAGTGAATTTCAATTTAAAATGTATAAGGAGAGAAACCAAGTAGAATAACCAGTAGTTCAGATTTGGTGCAAAATAATCATCGTGGCATGTTCAGCGAAAACAGAAAATTAAGATCCATATATCTTAGAAAAGACTGTTAAATATCTTCTCTCTACATATCATATTTTTCCAACAGGTATATCATAAGAAAATTTATCTGAACTGCAAAAGACGCAATCTGTGTCAAGATCTAATAAGTTGCTACTGCAGTACTGCTGCTCTTACTTTTCTCTCCTTTGGAGGAGGGGGGATAGTTTGAGTTTTTAAATTTAGTGCATTTATTATTCTTGTTACTGTTACTATTCTGTTAACTAGAAGCAATTCTAATCTTGAATTTGAATTAGCATTCATCTTTCTAGGAGACATTCATGCGGTTGCATGGATCATAGGATTCTTGAGGGTTGAAAGTACAACGTGGTATTTAACCGGGGGGGGGGGGGGGGGGGGGGGGGGGG